CGGTGAATCCTGTGAAATGAGAAGTCAGATTCGTCCCTCGAGGATAGCTAAGAAGTATCCAAATGGACTGTTTAACAAGCATTAAAACTTCTTCATCTAGAAGCGTCTTGATTCCTCCAAAGTAAATCCTTCGGATAACTACTAAACAAATGATAAGACTGCCCTGCCCTAAACGATTTTGCCACTTGTCTTTGGTGATACCATCAGAGCCACGTTTTAAGACCCCAAGACACGTACCAGACATAGTTTCAGAGAACTGAGGATGCTTCCTGTGGTCGATTGAAAAATTGGTCACTGTATTTTGTAGCTCCTTCCATAAGGAGATGGCATCTATTCCCCCAACATTTTTTTTTTTTTTTTTTTTTAGACTGAGTCTGGCTCTGTCACCCAGGCTGAAGTGCAGTGGCATGATTTAGGCTTATTGCAACCTCCTCCTCCTGGGTTCAAGCAACTCTTGTGCTTTAGCCTCCCAAGTAGCTGGGATTACAGATGCCCGCCACCACGCCCAGCTAATTTTTGTATTTTTAGTAGAGATGGGGTTTCACCATGTTGGCCAGGCTGGTCTAGAACTCCTGACCTCAAGTGATCCGCATGCCTCGGCCTCCCAAAATGCTGAGATTACAGGCCTGAGCCACCGAGCCTAGCCCTATTTCTCCATATCTTAAAACTGGGCTTAGCCATGGAACTTGTGTTCATCAGTGAGACATTTGCAAATGTGATGGAAACAGAGCTTGAAAAGTGCTTCTGTGTTGGGTCTTGCCCTCTCTTGCTTTGAGGAAACTCCTGCCACCATATGGACAAACCTGGGCAGCCTTCTGGAGGATGACACCACAGGGAGAAAGGCCTCAACAGCCCGAGTCATCTCAGCTGGGACCCCAGACATATGGATGTAGCTATCCTAGACCATCCTGCCTCAGCCAGAAGAACCACCCAGCCAACCCACAGAATCATAAGAAATGATACATGTTTGTTGTTTTAAGCCTATAAATTTTGGAGTGGTTGGTTATGTCCTTCAGAAAACAACAATGAACTCATAGCCAGGCAGCCTAACAATGTTTCACAGGTACAGATATTCCTTCTCCTATCCTTACTCTTCTTAGGGAATTTGTATTTGATCAGCCATCAAAGGTTAGCACTAAAAGATGAAAGCTGAGTTGAGGAATGTCAAGCAATGGCCAGTGGGCAGCAGAGATATTTGGGAGCAGTAGACTTCCAAGAGCCCCTGAAACAGTTTCTCAAAGGTGATTCAGGTTTCCCAGGTGAATGTTCTCATAGCATCATGTGCCTTTCCTTTAGAGTACTTTGTAATTATGTTTGGGTGATGATTTGACAACGTCTAGACTAAATCATGAAGCTATACGTTTCATGAAAGCAAGAACGGTGCCTAATTTGCCACTGCTCACATCCTGGCACATAATATATATTCATTTGTTGAGAAAATAAATGAATAAATAAATTTGAATTTTGCCTACTTCATATAACGGATCAGGACCTTAAAAAGCCATCATTTAACAGTATTTATATCTCATGGACTAGTGTTTTGCATCTACTTCCAGCCACAGGATGCTACTTGATTCCCCAACTATGGCAGGTAATTGGGTGTAGGCTTGGGACGGGGAATCGGAAATCAATCAGATCCTAGGACACTGATTATTGTAGTTCTTTCCCCTTCCCCCAAACTGTTGGCAAACAAAGTCAAACAAACATTCCTCATATACTTCTTAGCCTTCCTGGATATACTTGATATCCAAGCAAGGAGCTTAGTGGCGGCAGGAGCAGGTGATAAGAGTTAGGGAGTCAGGTCTGGAGAATGGTCTTATTCTGCGGATGTTATAAGGCTTCAGTCACCAAGCAATTGTGGTTATTTAATTAACTGAGGTTATTTAACTCTAAGAATCCTTGGGCGCCTGGTACTACCAGAGGGTATATCCCATCTACCCTTCTAAGACAATCTGAAGAAAAAAATTTAAAAGAGCATGAGTCAGAGAGAGGAGGGTTCAAATGATACTAGTGGGTGACTTGAGCATGTTAACTTTTCCAGGGCTGTTTCCTTGACTACCAAATTGGGATAACAATATTTTAGAAACAGCACCTCCATTAGACCATAAGGACCTTGCAGGCAGGGATCATTTCTTTTCACCTGTATTTATCTAGTGCTTAATAATGCTAGGCCCTAGTCGATACTCAAATAGCTAAGTGTCTTCTTAGAGGTGATCCAGGACCTAGTCCTGGCGCCATCACTGCAGTACTCTCAGAATAATTAGGAGATTTCCTTCCAATCCTTGGACGTCAACCTTCCCTTCTATAAGATAGGAGGCTGGAACAGATCTTCTCTAAGCTCCTTTCCAGATCTGATGATCAATGAGTCTGTGACCATTCAGTACACTATACCCGACTGCTGCTCCTAGAAGTTAATAATGCTACAGACTGAGGAGACAATAAGTCACGAATCACTTTGTATTTACAGATACACATGCATTTAAAATAGATGTAAACAAACACAATACTGTATCGCACTTTTGGCCTACTTTTGCCTCTTTAGTAGTCAAGAGGTTTTTTGTTGTTGTTGTTGTTTGTTTGTTTTGTTTTGAGATGGAGTCTTGATGTGTCACCCAGGCTGAAGTACAGTGGCACGATCTCGGCTCACTGCAACCTCCGCCTCCCAGGTTCAAGCAATTCTCTGCCTCAGCCTCCTGAGTAGAGATTTCAGGTGCCCGCCACCACGCCTGGATAATTTTTGTATTTTTAGTAGAGATGGGGCTTCACCATGTTGCCCAGGCTGGTCTTGAACCAGGTGATCCGCCCACCTCAGCCTCCCAAAGTGCTGGAATTACAGGTGTGAGCTGCTGCGCCCAGCCAGAAGTCAAGAGTTTTTAAATATTTTATTTGGATTGTTTAGGAAGATTAAATCCAGGACAAGTTGCCACTAACACATATTATGCAGCTTGAACCTTGGTGGCTAATTGCGCTATTACTGTGATTGATGACCACTATGCTGCAATCAGCTGGAAGCTGCTGCCTTTCATTCGACAGAAATGAGGTCACAGAGCAGGGCTGGGAAGCTGCCATCTCACAAGTAGGTCTGGTTGTCTGTTGCCCAGTAGATGAGCTTGCCACTATAACATTTAACTCTTGATTCCATCTATTGTGAAGACGCCTGTTTCCTTGAACTGGCTCCTGAGTTTTACAGAATTTGACAGTTTTAAAGAAAACAATTTGATCTTTGCCTGAATATTCAGTAGGAGAGAAAAGATTATTGGATACAGATACTAAAATATCCAGGGGTCATGAGAACCTTGGTCTGAAATCCTAGTACTAAAGTAGATGAGTGTTAACGACCAGAAAAAAACAGTAATTATCTGTGACACTGTATACAATGTTACAGTGTAAAAATCACACCCAGAATCACTGCCCTCTGAAGCAACTGTATTATACCCATGGTCAGAAAAGTTAATCAAGTCACTCTTCACAAACGCCCCCTTGCTGGAGCATGGAGGCTGTTCAAAGTGGAACATGGAGGCTCCTGCTGCTTGGGAGCCTGCTAAGTGTTGCCTGGCAGAGGCAGGTACAGGGAAAGCCAGCACTTGGGACTGGGAAGCACTGGGCATTTTCTACCCAGGCCCATGGGATCTGTTGCCTCAGAGACTGACTCGCCTTTCCTGAGCATGAGACATCCATCACCTCGGATTAGTCTGAGTAGTTGAGCAATTTGTTAACAGATTAGAGATATACATCTTTTCTCCAGTGGACTTGGAATCTGATGGCCCTGAAATTGAATCCTAATGTGGCTTTAACACTCTCTTGGTATGTGATCCAATTCTCGTAATCCCTCTGGATCATAGTTTGTCTATAAAAGATGCAGCCCAGAATGTGGTTAAGAACACAGACCTTGGAACTTACTGCCTGGATGTGAACTACAGCTCTACCACTTACTTCCTATGTGACCTTAGAGGTCAAGCTAGAACCTCTTTGTACCTTTGTTTCCTCATCTTCAAACCAGGCTCACTGTAGTGCCTCCCTCACAAGATGTTGGGAAGATAAATGAGTTAATGCACGTAAAATGCTTGGAACAATGTCTAGTACAGAGTAAGCATGACATCAGAGTTGGCCAAGACAACACTGGGATACCAATCCTGATCTCTCAAGTTTGTTTGGTGGATCAACTGAAATGGCGAAGGTAAGAAAAAAGAGTCACCAAGTTATTAGTGCCAAAAGGGACCTTAAAGATCATCCAAATAAGCTCCCTCATTTTATAAGTAGGAAATCAAGGCTCAAAAATGGGGAGTAACTGGTCCAGAGTCACAGTTGATTTAATGACAGAGTCTAGGTCTCCTGATTCCAAGTCCAAAGCTCTGTTCTCTGCATTGCATCAAAGACAGCAGCATCTTTGTAGAGCTGACTCCTTTTAAAAAAAAAAAAAAAAGAGAGAGAGAGAGAGAGAAAAAGAGAGAGAGATAAAGAGAGAGAGGGTCTTACTCTGTCACCCAGACTGGAATGCAGTGGCATGATTACAACTCACTGCAACCTCAAATTCCTGGGCACAAGCAATCCTCCTGCCTTAGCCTCCCAAGTAGCTGAGACTATAGGCGTGTACCACTACATGTGGCTAATTTTTTTTTTTTTTTTTTTGTAGGGATGGAATTTAACCATATTGCTCAGGCTGGTCTCGAACTCCTGGCCTCAAGTGTTTCTCCTGCCTTGGCTTTCCAAAGTGCTGGGATTACAGGTGTGAGCCACAGTGCCCTGGATGGTCCTTTTATTTAGTCATTGGACTAGTTGCTAGTTAATGTACTTTTCTAGGACAATGAGCCTCATTTGAAATGAAGAGAAAACTGGGGAGAGACTCCCCCGGCCCGCTGACTTTTGAGGTGGCTGAGGATTCAGACCATGATATAGAAGAAAGATTTCCTGGAATCATTGCCAGTTCTATGTCATTATTTCAGCCCAAACCAAATATGTCCCTGTGGCCAAGCAAGCTAGAATAATGAGCGAATTCATTCTGGTCTCTGAGTTTCTTTTCTTTTTTTCCTCAGGTGTTTAATTAAGGGGCTTCCACCAGAAGTGGTTTCCCACGCTCTCTGGTAGAAACTAAGGTTTCACTCCCAGGAGAATGGGGTTGGGATCAGGATCTTTGAGTTCAATTTTCTCAATTTTTTCAGGGTCATACCACCTTAGATTTATTTTGCTTCAAATCACACTTCTCAGTTAGATTGCTCAAGAGCAATTAAAAGATGGATTGCAGGAAAGGGGCAGGATGGGGAGAAGAGCCTATGAAGAACAGCCGATGGAATTATAGAGGTATTGACCTAGAGAAAAGGCAAGTCCCAGGAGTCATGATTCGTGTTCTCAAATAGTCCGAGGGTGTCACAGGGCAGAGAGAGCAGAGACTGTGAAGTCTCTGACAGCAGAGCTGGTACCAACAGGGAGGGAAGAAGAAGAATTTCCAGGAGGCAGATTTGAGCTTGAAGCAAGGAAAAGTTTCTATGAGAATTAACCAAGATGGTGTGGAAAATGAGCTCTTGTCCCTGCCTAGAAGGTGTGCTTTAGAAGAAAGAGATTTGGTTGTTAGGTTTGACAGTCACTTGTCAGAAAAAGGAAGGTTAGAATTGACTAGTCAAACTAGGTAAATTTGGGAATCCCCTCTAAAATCCTCAGGTTCTAGAAGTCTAAGAACCAATCGCCAATTTTACTAAGTTCCCACAGTTAAGAACCAACTGGAAAGCAGCAAAATCAGAAACTCATGATCTGTGTCTTGATCTTGCCTGTTTCTCTTTTTCTCTGTTTGTCTTTCTTGAGCATATGTGCCTGCTCTTTCCTATAGCAGGAACCTCTGACATTCTGTAGGGGATAATCATTTTCTCTTAAGTGTGTTTCTGACTCAGCCTTTGCTCCTTCAGCATCATTAGAGAGTCTGAGCTCTCTGAAGATTAGCTCTGCCTGTCACCACAGCAACTGCCCAGGCCCCGTGGGCATCCGTGGTAACAGGCACAGGGCTTTGAGAGCCCAAGCTTGACTTGCAGGGAGAGAAAGCCCCACAGGGAGCCCGATAGGAAACAAGCACGTTGTGCTTTGAGAAGTTGTCTTTAATAGGATTAGCTATGCAGGCGAGCCAGCCTCACTTTACGCAATTGGCATGCCCCTGAAGAATGTGGGTGTGTCAAATTCTGGTAAATGGAAGAACTCTCATTTTAAAGGCAGAGAAGAGACTGCTTTTAAGTCCCTGTAGTGAATCCCCTTCATAAAACAGAGTCTTCTTTTGCAAAGTGAATCTCCACCTATGTAGTGACCTGTTCTGTTAGTCTAGTGCTGAGTATCTATTACTGGGAACATCTGCAGAGAACCCTGGGGGCAGGCAAAGAACAGCAGCAGCTCATCTTGGTCAGGGCTGAGAGTGGACAGTGTGTAACAGGGAGAAGCAGACTGGGTGTGGGGCCACAACAAGGGGAGGTCAGGAAGGTGGGCCTTGCCTAGCATGAGCAGTTCTGCTGCAGCAGCGGTGGGGTGTCCGAGAGACGCGTGTTCTTGGAGGAGCCCAGCATCGAGGGGTCTGTGTCCAGCGAATCAGACATCTTGTCGCAAATGGCATCCACCAGGCGCTCGAAGGCCTGCCTTACACTGATGTTCTCCTTCGCACTGGCTTCAAAGAAATCAAACCCTGGAAAGAGGAGAGATACAGATAAGGCCTTTTCCATCCCTTCTGCTGGAACCCTTCTGTGCCCTCAGCCCAAGCACTCTGGATTAATATTTCCAGTGCTCAGGAGTGAAGCAAAGAGGCCCAATTCCATGGACAGGGGATTCTGCTTCAAGGAGACGGCACAGGGCAGGAGTTTCCTGCACTGGTCTTTCAGTCAGACTGATCCTAGCTGTACCACTGCCCAGCTGTTTAATTCCAGGCTAAGTCACTTATTCTCTTTACAAATCAATTTCCTGGTTTATAAAAAAGGGATAATTTTACCTACCTCATAGAGTTATTTCAAGGATCAGGCAAGACGATGTATGTGAAATGTATAGCCCTGTGCCTGACACAAAGGGGGTCATTAGTGTTTGCTGACAGAACAAATGCATAAATGTGTGTCCACAGCACTTCACAGTTTCCAAAGCACTTATCACATAGATTATTTTATTTGATCTTCATGTTGCCCTTGGGGAAGAAGTGTCAGTCAGATCCTCTCCACTTCACTAATGCAAACACTGGCTTACAGAAGTAAGCTAGCTTGCCCAAGATAAGGAAAAGCACCAGTATGAGAAACCCCAGTTTTGGACTTTTTCACAGGGATTTTCCTCCTCTTTCCCCTGCCTCTCATTCCCCCTAGGCTGGCCAGCTCCAGTCTGGGCTCTAGGAGGCACCTCAAGATTCACACTGAATAAGTCTTCTTTGCCCTTTCCACCCATAGCCACACTGGTTTATTTCCACTTAGTGGGGTTTCCCCTCCCTGAATTCCACCGAAATGATCCAACAGATCTCACCCTCCCTCCACAAACCCAACAAAAGGCCCAGGGAAAACTACATCTGAGGTGTGCAACGTTCTTGTCTATTTTGTATCTTGAGACCCTTAACGACACTTTCTGTGATGAACAGAACTTGGTTGTCCCAAGAGACACAGCAAAGGCCCTACTGTTTCAAAAAGGCTGCTTTCTACCTGAGGAATCTTGGTCAACTTGGTGGCAGCCCTTAAAAGCAAAAGTGGCACTTTCCATCAGTCCCTGGCCCTCTCCCACTTCTCTTGTCTGTCTGCCTTCCTCTTTCCCTTCTTTTGGAGCCTTTCGCCTGTGTCCCTTCCACTTTCTCCTTGGGATTCCTAATATCTTTGGGGCAACTACTATATGCCAGACACTATGCTAGGAGCTTTACTGATATCATCTTTAATCCTCACAATAACCAGTTGGGTAAATAACATCTCCAATTTATAAATGAGAATATGAGGGACAGCATAACTCACAAAGTCATGTGGCTGTATCAGTGGAAACTGGGTTTAGACCTGGGTTTGGCTGTCTGCAAATTCCACACACAGCTCTGCCTCTCATTTCTTCCCCCTTTTCTCTTTCACTTGGCTTCCCGCCCCACCCCCCGATTATACCTTTTTCTTCCTTTACAAGTGTCTTTGACCTCCTCTGCTTTAATCCAACTAACAGTATCTGAGTCTGGGCAAGTCATTTCACCTCTCTGCTCACTTAACCTCTCTAATTCTCAGACTCCTTGTTGTCAGATAAAGAAAACAACAGTGGCTTCCTACCAAGAACAGGTGGGAGGAGTGAGTGAGATGATGAATACATTGCTGTAAAAAAGTGGCCTGTTATAAAGACAGTTTCTTTCTGTTCTTTCAACTTGTTCCTCCCACCTCCTATCCATCTCTTTCTCCCTCTTTTATCATCTTCTCTAACAAAGGAGGGATCTCTTTCCCCCTCCCTCTTTCTCCCTATTATTCCACCGTCCACAGAGAGGGCTGAAGCAGCCCAGGTATAAACAAAGCCCCTCTTTTCCCAGCCTTCTGGCTGGAAGGCACACGCCGTTCCTGCCAGCCCACCCCTCCAGCTGACAGCCTCTCCCGTGGCCCATTTCCTGACCTGAGAAAGACAAGCGGCAGAAGTGCCTGCTAATTGTGGACATGTGATGAAGGAGGCAGCTGCTGGCTCATTATCCTCAGGCCATAGAAACCCAGTCAGCTTCAGAGACCCTCCAGCATATCGTTTTTCCTTAATGAACATCACAAAAATTGACTACCCAGTCTTTGACTGCCTTATCACAAGTGGCAGTGTTTGGGGAAGTGTGGGGAATGTATTGCTTATTTAGTAAAGAGGCAGACAGGTAAATAAGTAAATAGGTTTTCAGCTCAGATGAAGATGAGGACACAGTTCAAGGCCAGGGGTACAAATCCCTTGTGAGGAAGTGGCACTGCGGGGAGGACATGCCACATTGTACAGAGGGCAGCTACTAGCTGCGTGATCTTGGGCAAGTTGCCTAATTGCTCCCAGTCTCTGTTTCCTCATCTGTAGAATGAGGTGAATACTACCTACTCCATAGGATAGTAATGAAAATTAAATCCATGAAAGTATATGACATGATTGGCACGCAAATACATGGCAATTCTCTTTCCTATATGTTCCTGGCCCACCTTACTCCCAGCTTCCTTGAACCTCTACTGTCTCCCAGGGCCTTTGGGAAAATCTCTTTGTCTTCATCACTTAGGGTCAATCAATAAGCCAGGTCTTTTTTTTTTTTTTTTTTAATTATTTATTTATTTATTTTGAGAGACGGAGTCTTGCTCTGTCGCCCAGGCTGGAGTGCAGTGGCATAATCTCAGCTCACTGCAACCTCTGTCTCCCAGGTTCAAGCGATTCTCCTGCCTCAGCCTCCTGAGTAGCTGGGATTACAGGTGCCCACCATGCCCGGCTAATTTTGTATTTTTAGTAGAGATGAGGTTTCACCATGTTGGTCAGGCTAGTCTGGAACTCCCTTCCTCAGGTGATCTGCCTGCCTCAGTCTCCCAAACTGCTGGGATTACAGGCATGAGCCACAGTGCCTGGCCCACCAAGTCTTTATTGAACATTGACCTTGTGTCATGTCTTGTGTTGAGTGTTAGAGATACAGATA